GCTAAATTCCTTTTTAATTATTATAATAAACAATAAATATTACCATAAAAATGTTTCAAGGTTTTACTTTTCTTAAGAATAATGGCATTTTTAACTTCATTTTCTAAAATTAATAATGATTTCACTTAAAAAAAATCAGATTGATTAAAAAACATGATTTTAATCAGCTGATTTATATCCTCTGAACCCTGATTAATAGTAATACATAAATGTAAATAAATCCTTGAATACCAAGCTGAAAACAAAAAGAAATTCTTTCTACCCAAAATTCAAAAATTCGCCGCAAACGTTTATTTTTACGTATTTTACACAACATAAACAAAACAATAAAACTTATTTAAATTTCATAAAACGTAGACGTAGGTATGTCATTTTTTAACATAATTTATTTTCTTAATTTAAAATTTAAATTTAAAAATTGTCACTGCATTATTTCAGTAACGGAATTGTAAATGCAATTTTCTTCATAATAATACTCTCTTATCTGTACATATGTATATATAGGAACATTGGTATATACTAAATAAATTTATAGATACCTAACATGATAAACTAAGTAAATAATTCATAAAAATATTAATTTTAACGTTACTACGAAAATTTAGCTAGGTATGGTATAATGTATCTTTAACGTAACTTTGATTGTATATAGGTACTACATGATTATCTGTTTAAAAATTGTTTCTATAAAGAGTTCTAATCAAATCCATTTTGTAGCTTTCACAAACACATACAAACCACGAGCGAATAAATGCATGTATACAATCGTGTACGTTTGCGCCTGTGTGTGTACGAGCAAGAAAATAGAATAAACGACGAGAGCGGAGCAAATTAGTGGGGAGAAGGGATAAACGAAAAAGAGCGAGACGCTATTCAAGCACGCGGACGTGCGTTAGAAAAGGCAGGAGAGAGAGAGAGAGAATAATAATCGAATAAATACTACTTCTTACCTCGCCGTGATCCATCCGACCTTCAGGTGTGTTTTCCGGAAGGAAATACAATCGCAAACTTGCCAAAATTTGTTCACTGTTTTTGTCTATCCACAACAATTGCAACTCGCCTATGCACACTAGATCCGAATCGGACCAAAGTTTAACAAAGAAAAACTCACTTAACCTCACAACACGATTTACACCGTTTTTCGAATATTTGAACGCCTTGTAGAACGTGTACGGCCCATGCTGGCCACACGGCGACCCCACCAGCTGAAAAATCATAAAAAAAAAATAACCGATAATTACATTGTTAATTCGTAACAATAATAAAAAAAAATCAATAGGTACTATCCGCATAAAATTTTTAGTTATTAAACGGCAATAATGTCACGAAACAATGGAAGCAAATTTGTTCACGTTTATATTCAAATAAATATACGCGTATGAATAAGCAATCGATAAATTCAACTACATCAGCGAAACATTACTTACTTATTTGCATACATTTGTAATGTTTTTATTATTTGAAAATTATAATTACATATTGTATAATTTTTATAGGTGGTACCCATGTATGTCGGTATATATAAATAAGTACAAAGAAAGAAACGTGTCTATTAGAAAGTAAATATAATAAATAAAGGTGATACTTGTGTAGGTGAACTGTACATTTTAACACATATATAGGTATATATACTGTAATTTATATAAATACGTAGGTGTAGGTAATAAAATATTAGGTGAAAATTAAAAATACACACAAACAATTCACTAACAAAAAAAAGCTGATACGATAACTTTTAAATATCAATCGTAGACGAATCACAAAAAAGTAGAGACTATTTAAAATTTGTCGACTGTTGCATCTTTGTTTGTTTGTATCGAATTATTTAAAAGAGACAATTACAAAAACAATAATTACAATCGAATTATGCTGCTGCATTGTTATTATTATTATTAGCGGTCGCAACAGTGAAAATAAGTATAATAATAAGCGTTTTGATATTGGGAAACGTTATTTTTCACTCAAGGCTCCTTAATGGTTCACGGATTATGTCTTTCACTTTTTAAACACCTTGTTTGGAGCATGTTCAGCGAATTTCTAGTCGCAATAACAACGGCCCATTTCAATGCAAACGTATTCTAATAAATACACACACACATACACGCACACACAGAGACAAAATCCGAATAAACGATAAAAATAATACGTACATTTTATATACGCATACATAATAAATACATACACACAACTACATAAAAATAATAGGTACAAAGTAGTTGTTTATCTATGCGCAAGGAACAGCTAGGTGTTACATGCAATGAACATAATATATAGAATATTAATTTGACAATTTAACAAATAGTAATAAAAGATAACAATTAAAATAAAACAGCATCATCTATTAAAACATACTCCCCGTTGGTTTAATTTTGTTTTGAACAACAATGATAAATCGAACACGAATTGAAATTAAACTGATTGGCATTTATGAATTTTTAATGAACTTCTCTGTGCAAGGATTAAAAATAAATTGTTAACCTGTAATAACCTCGACGTATGAGCAGATCCACGTTTCTTATGGAAAATTGACATGTAAAATGCATTTTATTGCCTTACCTGCACATTTTCCGTGTCCATTTTTCACATTTAATTTATCCACACTCTTTACTTAAGTATTAGGAACACACGGCACGCCGTTGGCACATCTCTACTTTGTAATATTTACTCTAATTATGTGACGTCATGAAACGATACAGAGCTACATTCGTAAACTGCCGCATTGTTTCGTGGTAGTTCGTGAAACAGGCGTTCGGATTGTGGACTACGGCGGGGTCGCGACAGAGGAACGAGACAGAGATGGAGAACGAAGCAAACGGCTGCAACGCGCGCGAAACGATGATGGAACAGGCGGTTGTGGAAGAGAGAGGGGAGAAAAGCGCGCAAGAATATATAACAAAAGATATTGGAGAAAAAGAGACCCGGGCGGGCAACACGTTGCTTGCTTGTTTTTTTTTTTGTTATTTAATAATCGTTGAAAACGCAATTAGACGTTTTAACGATTTTGTTATTATTGGCTTTGCAACCAAGAAAGATGGTGCATAGGGAATGAGAAATATCTCTACGTGGTGTTTGACTATTTCATGTTTGTTCGTATGTTCATGTTAGGTACTTATACATGTAGGTACCTACCTACCTTCCTAAAAATGAACAGATTTGATTCCAATCTCCAGTGAGGATGCAGACGCTTTATATTATGTATAACTACTGACATACGGTTGGTCGTAAATATTTTTGACCCTTGTACCTGTCCAATTAAAATTTATGTTAAAATGTAATATAAGCCTAAGAGAGAAGTTATTCAACGTATTAGAAAGTTCGACTCGTACGCCGAAGGTTGCGTACCTTATCAAATTATTTGCTGTGCTAAGTTGGTATAACTACATATTTCGAAAAATTATTATTTTTCTTTGTCAAATTAAAATAAATAAGAATTCGACATTTATTTACAGTTAATATCTCATAAATATATGTATATGTTTGGAATTTCACGGAAAAAAAAATATAATCATATAGGACAGAAGTTTTTATGAATCTCCTCATGAAAATCCTGGATCCGCTCCTGTGCTCCTGTACTGAAGGGTTGAAGGACGGACGGTTGGGGCTGGTTTTATAATAAATTGGACTAAGTACTTAATCTTTCTATCGGCGTTTGGTTCATTATTCCACGATTATTGTTTTAAGAGATATAAGCTTTCAAAAAGAGATTTGTTTTCGTTTTCAAGATAGATAGATATATCAACAAAAAGAAACAAAGCAGTAATTTTAAATAATTAGCAAACGATTTTTCTAAGCGTCGAAATAAGGCAAAATATAAATTACACAATACCTAACCTAATAACAATCAAAGTTGAGTAATTTCCATGATTACGTTAAATAAACAAATAGAAAAGTAGACAAAACTTTTAAACATTTCTTTTTTTTTTATAACCTACATAAACAGGCAATTTAATAATTCATTTCATTTGTAAATTTAAATATGTATTTACGTATATTTTTATATTATTTATCGAAAATTTCCAATTTCCAATTTCAACTTTTTTGAATTCTCAAAAACAATTGGAAACAGCGTTGTAAAAGACGAGTACGTACGCCCTTGGCTATAATCGGTCAATAACATCAGCTCCTGTGAAAATTTAAACGGTGACCCACTGTATGTAACGTGCTGGTTTAACCACTTCCGAGAGCGTCGAATGGATTTCGTATTCATGGAAGTTAGACCGTGTTCTGGATAACAAAACAGATAAATCAATGATTATTCTGTGAAACTTGTGTTAATTATAACCAGTTAATTATTAGTTCATACGTTTGAATTATAAAAAAGTGGAAATTTCATTTTGTGATAACATTTTGTAATACTTGTGTAGCATGCGTTATTTACTACTAATATTTAATTACATAAATGCATGCATAGGCGTAACATAAAAATTTATTAGTTGCAGAAACTAAAAATAAAGGACATTATAAAAAGACGCAATGAAGGCATCATGTAAAACAAAACAAAACAAAATCTAATTTATGTAAATAAATTAATAAAACTATAAATTTAAACCTTTTTAAATGTGTAATTAAATAGTTTTACGATTAAATTAAAGTATAGTATACATTATTTAGTCGCTATGTCTGATAGGGTATTTTAATTTTTAAATTAAACCTTAGGCGCAACTGGCATCTAATTTTTGTAGTAATAACTGTATATATTGTAGTAATTTCATAAGTCGCTGTGATCACATTTAGTTTCTATGGTTGCATAACTAATATATAAAAACTTGACACAGAACAAAAACCGTTGCATCTGATCCAGGAAATTATTGAAGTAAAAAACATCTTAAATTAGTTGAACTTTATAAAAAGCATCTATGGTTCGAGGGTACAGCGGCAATACTTGAAAAAAGTTAAATTAATGTTACATATCGGTTTTTCGCACAATCTGCGTATTTCGAGAGAATTGGCAACATTGGCTTGGTATGACATCTTACTTATGTTTTTTTGTTATAATAGAGCATTTTCAGCTTTTTAACTAGAATGACAAGGCGTACCGGGATCTGGAGAATCTATAAGGGAGCAAGACGATTCTATTAAATTTTATTTCCAGCATTAACTCGTCAGTTTCTTGAGCTTTTCAGAATATGTTCACTACAAAATAATTACTAACATGTTCTACCTACCCTAAAAGATTAATTGTTAATTACCTTAATTAATAGTCAATCCTTTTGCAAATTTCCTAGATTTCATTTGCCTACAATTAAAGAGTACGTCTATCTTTAAAACTGTCACTCCTAAACTACGCCACTGATTAATATTATTATTAAAAAAATACGAAACGCGTAATATGCTTTCTATTTGTTATTTTCATAAATATTACATACATATGTAAATTTTCTTCAGTTCATTTTATTTTGAACAGAAGGCTCAGACAACTGTTAAAAATATTGTATAATGAAAATTTAGAAATGAATTTTCATTAATAAAAGAGCATCTAAGTGGGGTAATATTCCTGCAGCAGTGTTAATGAAAACCAAAAGCAACGAAAAAGCCTTATTTCGTCAGTCTTTTGCTTTATTAAAGATGCATGAAGCGTTGAAGTAATATGAAAATTCTTGTTAATAATATTGCAAGGAATAAAGTCTGTAATAATATCAGATGAAAATTTTCAGTTTAAGTTTTTTAAATGACTTCCATATTTTGTCTGCACATTCATTTATCAATTAAAATACAATAAAAGTTCATGTTTCGTATACAGACGCGTAAAACAGTATATTGCTGTATATCTTCAAATTATAGCACTCGGTATATGTTAATCCTGACTGATTAAAGTATACGTAAATAATTTCCTGCCTTTAGACATAAATATAGGAAATAAAAGAAAACATTTAAATTAATTCATATAATATGTACGTATTAAAAAAAACCTAAATTAATTCTTGGCGACGCCTATGGTTTGTGCATAAGAAAAAAAAGTATTACTATGTAACTGATCCAACAGTGACAAAGCTTTCAATAGATTATTGATTTATCCCAAAATAAGTATGTTTTTAAACATTCATTACATTTTCCTTCTACGTTTTTTAATAATTTTCTTAATTTCTAAATAAGTACGTAATTTAAAAGAAAATATCATAGTTATTTTGTTTTCATAGATTCGCGTTTTTTTGTAGAGTATGCAATCGTTTGCAGGTTGGCATCATGCTAACGAGACCTACTGTGGTGGTTAGCGGTAAATAAAAGCGTGCATTGTGCATAAAACACTCCGCGGCTTGGCGTTTTAATGAAAGTGCGTGATTATGAAACGTTTGTGGAATTAAAACATTTTGAAATTGTTTGATTTGATATGCTTACGTTGGAGAAACTCAGGTAAGCTTTTCTTAGATTGTTTATTCTTACTCCCTTAGTTGTAGGTTATGTACCTACTTAGTCGCGTTTATCTTATGTATATAATTTACTTCTTTTTATAAATTTAACATGTTTCAACAAGTGATATGGGCCACACTAAGTATTTAGACTGTTACTAATTTAATAAAACCATCTTTTATAATATCACAAACCACTAAAATTTGAGTAAGTATACCATAACCTATATGAGACATTATGAATGATTTTTTTCACTTGAGCAATAATCAATTCTAAATGCCAGGTATTAGGAATACAATGTTTGCATAAAAAGGTGTTGTTACCTTATCAAGGATTTGAATTGTACCTATACTAATTTTAGGTAGGCATATGTTTAATTGTAAAAATACAAATGGACTTCCTAGAATTCGAAATGGTTTCACTATACTTTTTTTCATTTACCTATAGATTAAACAGTTATTGCTTATATTGCTTTTTATGTGGAGATAATAGATAATACCTAATGTCTAACGTTTATACATTAAAAGATCAGTAAAAGTAGCTAACATAGGAACGATTTCATTAAAAAAAAAATTTAGATAAGAAAATTATTTTAAGCTTATTAATTATTTATTAGTGATGCTAATAATATTTGTATTTAAAATCGACCTATTTTGCTTTTATGATGATGTACCAACCTACCTAATATAACTTTCCTAAAATTCAATGCATCTTTGTTATTTTGGTTTTATCAAAAGGAAGTACAACCCGCCACTGGATTGCACAGTTTTATTAAT